GATTTAAGCCACTAGTAAAAAGGCTTGATTTAAATCACCTCGCTTTAAATCATACATTTTTAAAGAGCAGCTGTCATCCCTGCTGGGAAATTAACAGATAACAGCTTAACAGAGTCAGAAGGGACCTTAGAGGTCATCTAATCCAACCCCCCACCCAAGAGAGAAGATCCTACACCATTTCTGACAAATGGCGGTCCAATCTCTTCTGGAAAGCCTTCGGCGCAGTGTGCATTTTATCTCAGCTTGCAGAGCTTGGCTCCCTTGAATGAGTGGACCAAAAATGTAAAAAATGCAGAATTCACAGCCTCCTCCTCGTGCTACGTAACTTAAGCTCCGTTTCATGCTGAAGAAACTAAATTATTAACGCCTCTTAAATAGAAAACTACCTTTAGATAGATCTGTTTTTTTTTGCTCCAAAAGCATTTGATTAAAATAAATTGGATTTAAATCCCAAAAAATCCGATTTAAATTTTAAAAAAAATCCAATTTAAATCCAAAAAAATCCAATTTAAATCCAAAAAAAACAATATATATATATATATTTTTTAAAATTTAAATCATCATTTTTTATCTACCCTGCCCTCCGGCCTTCCTTCCTTCAGTCCTTCAAAATTTGAGGTTGACCGGTGTTCCATTTGACCAACCGGCGGGTCACGTTCAGCACTTCGGCCCAGCGATCTCGGCGTGTAAGTAAGCCCAGCCGCGTTTTTTTTTTTTTTCCCCCTTTCCAGATTCAAAGACCCAAAGTCTCACCGACAGCACTCGGCCCAGGTGGCTTTGCAGGTCTGCGTCCGTCCCGGCTCCTACAAGCTGTGCCCTCCCACGCAGGCGACCCCCGAGACCGTGGACCCCCGCTTCAGCAGCGCCGAGATCGAGTGGGTCACCAAGGAAAAAGGCGCTACGGTTCTCTTCGGCCTGCTGATCCGCGTGGAGTGAGACCGCCCCCCCCCTTTGGCCTCCACGGTGGGGGGGCACGCCGCAGCTTTTGCCAAAACCCCCCCAGCCCCCCCCCATTCTCCCCGGGGTCCGACGGCGGCACAGAACCGGCTGGAGACGGCACATCCAAGCGAGGAGGGGGTCAACTTTTACGGCCAGACGGAGGACTCCCTTCGGGAGAGAACTTTATTGCGGGAGGGGGCTGCCTCTTGGGGAGGGGGCTGTTCGCCTCCTTTTATTTTCTTTTGCACAGAGACGAGACAAGCTAACGGGGAGGGGAGGGGGCTGGGAGACTGTTAAAAGAGCATGAAGCGGGTGGGTGGGTGGGAAAAGGGGGGGGTCTTTAGTTGCCACAAAAGGACTTGGGGAGGGGTCTTTCTCCCCCCCCTCCCCCCCGGGATTTCTACAGACTGACCACCTCCTTTTCTCTTCCCCGTGGTTCGGATCCTTCCTTGCCCCGATGCCTCTTTTCCTGGGGAAGGGTCTTTTTGGGGTCGAGGGGGTCATCTTCCTCGAGGGGGACCCCCTCCCCGGGCAGGCACTTAGGCACACAGACGGAGCTCCAGAGGGGAGGGCGGGGAGGGGGGCTCATCTCAACCCCCTCCCCCTTAATCCAGAGTTCTGGCTTTCCGAGACATTTTTTGGCAATCTTCTTTCTACACGATTCGGGCGTTGCCCACCTACCCACCATTGCTTCATTTCTTGGGCTGGGGGCTGCCAGGAGGTCAGCAGCCCAGATTGATTGACAGATCTCCGGTGTCGGTGGGGGACCAAGAAAACGCCATTTCCTCCTTTTGCGACGGATTTCCTCCGACGCCCCTCGTCCCCCTCCTCATAACAAAAAAAAAAAAAAAAATAAGCACACCTTGCGCCCGATTTCTTTCGTTCGCTCTTATTCTCCCGGTCCGACAAGTGCTCTCCGCCCCCCCGTTCCCCCCAATTTCCCGGTGGGGTGGGGTGGGGGAGTCTCCTGTGGGATAGGTCTGCAAACACCCCCTCCCCATTCTCCTCCTCCTCCTCCTCGTTTCCCACCTTCTCCCCTTATTTATTGATGTGCTCATCGTCAGAAAAAGAAAAAAATGTGAATTTTTTTTCGGGGTGTGGGGGGGCGGCGGAAAGGATGCGAGCCCGTGGTCCTCGTTGTCCCCCCCCTTCCCTTCTTGGATTTGTATTTTAAATGCTATTTATGATGCTTCTTCACTTTATTTGTTGATGGGGGGGGCAAGAATTGTCTTTTTCTTTTTTTTTTTACATCTGTTGGAAACTGGGAGGGGGGGTTGTTTCTCTGGATGTATTATTTGTTTCTTTCCCCCCCCCCTTTTTTTTTTAATTTTTTTTTTGTTTTTTTGGACTAAAATTAAATTGTTTTCCCCTTTTTGCCCCCCTTCCGAGGGTTTATAAACCACAGTTCAACCTGTTTTGGGTTTGTGTCCTTCGTGACTCCCCCCGACATGCCCCCCCCACCCCAAATGGCGTTTTAAGAATGCCCCCACCCTCCGTGCAATTTTCCTCTCCTCTCTTATTTATGACACGTCACCCCCGAGGTTTTAAGAATTCCCCCCCCCCCCGAGCGCCTTTCGAATAAAGTGAGAAATAAAACGAGAAAAAAAAAAAGAATTTGTATTTGAGCGTCCGGAAAACAGCAAAAGGCAAAAGATGGAGGAGACCCCTGCGATTTTTGTGCATTATTTTTTTATTTATTGATTTGGCAGTCCTGGACTTACGACCGTTCGTTTAGTGGCCGTCCGGAGTGACGCCGGCACTGAAAAAAAAGTGACTTATAACCGTTTTTCATCCTTGCAACGTCCCCGTGCTCAATGTCTCACTTAACAACGAGAAATCTTAGACTCAGTTGTGGCCATAAGTCAAGGATTAGAGGTAGCCCTCGACTTACGGCCACAACTGACCCCAGAATTTTCATTGTGGTTAAATGAACCGTGCTCAGTGTTACAACCCTTTCTTTGCCAGGATTGTTAAGCGAATCAGGTGTTAAGTGGATCAGGTGGTCATTAAGTGAAATCTGGCCTCCCTCGTTGACTTTGCTTGCACGAAGCCGGCTGGGCCGGTCGCAATGAAACCTACCCACCCCCCGTTGTAAATACACACCCAGCACCTAAATTTTGATCCTGTGTCCGTAAGGATGTCGTAATGGTCGTAAGTGCGAGGATCGGTCGTAAGTCACTTTTTCCAGCGCCGTTGTAACTTGGAACGGTTGCTAAAGGTTTGGTTCTACGTGGAGGATTATCGGTATCGACCTCAAATCAGAATAAACGATCACAATTATTTATAAATAATAAACCGCCATGCTGAGAGATTGCTAGGAAAAAGAGGCCACCCAGAGATACCCAGGCTGCGGAGGTAAGGACCAGCACACCTGCTAGACAAACCACGAGCATCAGGTCTTCAAGGGTGGGTAAGGGGCATCACACATGTCCTGTCGTTGTGTGCACACGTGTGAGATCACCACAACGCCTGGGCTGCAAGGGATTGGTAATTGTCCAAATAATTGAGCTTCAAGAAGCTGGCTGGCTAACGAATGGAGGCTTCCATCTTTCTCATCGGCTCCACAGGAAAGGGCCCAACTTTTCCGTCGTTAAGCGCAACATTTATTGAGCTTTGCTCCCCGCTTTGCGATTTTTCTTGCCACCGTCATTAAGTTATTCCCTGCAGCAACATGGTCGTTAAGCGAATCCGGCTTCCCTGTTGACTTGGCTTCTCAGAAGGTCGCAAAAGGAGATTGCGTGACTCCGGAACATCACCCGTCGTAAATGTGAGTCCGTTGCCAAGAGTCTTGAGTTGGATCATGTACGGAAAAAACGGACCCTTTTTTCAGTGCCGTTGTAACTGGTCACTAAATGAATTGTTGTAAGTGGAGGACTACCTGCATTATTGGTGTGAAAAAGACTTCGTGTGAGTCGATGAGCGTGAACCGGGTACAAAAAAGGCGAGTAAAATTCAGTTTTCAAACCATCGGAAAGCATTCGGTTTGCCCACAATTTTTTTTTTCTTCTGGAGATCTCTTGGTGGTCTCCCATCCCAGTACTAAACAGTCAGCCAACGTTTTTTTTTTTTTTTTGCAAAGAGTCCAGGTACAAAACGGTGGGCGATTCGAAGAGGAGAGAGAGAGAGAGAGAGCCCTTTTCATGGACCGGCTGCAAGCAGAGGGTTGGGCCCATTATATTGGGGTGCCTCCAAGCAAGCAAAAGGGGCTGGACTAGATGACCTAAGGAGCCCCTCCGAATTCCAAGATGTGTCCAATCACCCCCTTCCCATCAATGTGGGGATTTGCTTCCCTTTAAAAGCTAGCTGGATTTTTATTTTTTGAAGTGGGGGAGGGATTTTAATCCCTTTTTTAGGACAATGGTTCCCAACCTTGACCCCTTTAAGACAGGTGGACTTCAATTCCCAGAATGCCCCAGCCAGCTTTGCTGTCAGTAGTAGGGGGGGCTTTGCTGGCTGGGGCATTCTGGGAATTGAAGTCCACCACTCTCAAAAGGGGTCAAACTGATTTAGCATTGTGTTAAAGCATCAAAGTTGCACAATTAACCCACCTGCCCCCCCAAAAAAAAATTAGGGTCCCCCCCAAGAAAGTATCTAGACCACCTTCTACAAAACATTTCCACCTTTGATGGGAAGGGGCTCCAGCTTGCCTGTTCCTTTCCCCTCCTCCCCCCAAAAAACCCTCTCACTTTGCCCTTGACCTTCCCACCCCCCCACTAAGCCAGACTTGGCTCTTCTGTCCTACCTTGCAAGAATGTTGTTGGGGCAGGAAAAAGTGACAAGCAGGGTGGGAGTGGGGGGAGCTTCTTCCCAGCCTGGGGATTTGGGGCACCCCCACAGCTGGGGAGGGGAGGGGGAGGTTTATAAAGGGGGAGGGGAGGGGGGTTTCCCCAATTTCTCCCCCTTCCCTGCTGCAGAGGAGGAGGTGGAGAGAGAGAGGAGGAAGCCACGCCCACCGTTCATTCTATTTGCATACAGGCCCCGCCCCCTTCTCTTTCTCTACGCGCAGGGATGCGGCAGGGCGGAGGGGAGGGCAGGTGACCCGGAAGCGGAAGCGCCGGAGCGGAAGTGAGGCCTAGGAGAGGAGGGGTCTTTCCGCCGCTGCTGCTGCTACCGCTGCCTCTCTCTCCCGGGGAGGGGGAATCTCCGGGCGCCGCGAGGATTGCGACCGCCGCCATGCCGGCCCTGCTGGAGCGCCCGAAGCTGAGCTCGGCCATGGCCCGCGCCCTCCACCGGCACGTCATGGTGGAGAGGGAGAGGAAGCGGCAGGGTGAGACCCTCGGCAGACCCCCCCCCGCCCCTTCCCCCTCCCCCTCCTCCTCCCTCAGGTGCCCCTCCCCCCCGCATATGCAGACCCCTCCCACACACCCTTCTATACCCTCCCCCCCACTTCCAGACCCCGATTTGAAACCCCCCCTCCCACATTTCTGGGGGGGCGCCTTTCCAGACCCTCCCCCACTTCCACATTCCTTCTCCTCCAGCCCCCTCCCACATTTCCAGCCCCCTCCCACCTTTTAGACCCCCACACACACACTTCAGCCCCCCCCAGAGACACACACTTGCAGATTTTCCCCCCCCATTTCCTGACCCCCCCAGCGCCCCTGGACTTCCAAAGCCCCCCCCTCCCACTTCAGGCACCTATAGAGGTCCCCACTTTCAAATGCCCCCCATTTCCCCCCTCCCATTTGCAATACCCCCAACTTCTAGACCTCCCCCCATTTCCAGACCCCAATTTGATTCCCCCCCACACTTCCTCTCTCCACATTTCTAGGGGGCCCCCCAACTTTCCAGACACCCCCCCACTTCCATATTCCTTCTCCAGCAGCTCCCATATTTCCAGCCCTCTCCCACACTTTAGACCCCCCTCCACTTCATCCCCCCTCCCATATTTCCTGACCACCCAACCCCCATGGACTTCCAGAGGGGGCCCCCCTCCCACTTCAGGCACTTATAGACACCCCCACTTTCAAAATGCCCCCCACTTCCACTCCCCACATTTCTAGGGGTCCCCCCCCGCATTTGCAGACCAACCACTTCCACATTCTTTCTCTTCCAGCACCCATATTTCCAGCCCCCTCCCACATTTGAGACCCCCCCCACAGTTCCACCCCCCCCAAACACACACTTGCAAATCCACCCCCATATTTCCAGCCCCCCCACCCCATAGACTTCCAGAGCCCCCCTTCCCCACTTCAGGCACTTATACACCCCGCCCCACTTTCAAATCCCCCCCTCACTTCCAGACCCTGATTTGAGACCCTCACTTCCAGCCCCCCATTTGCACACACACACACACCATATTTCCTGACCTCCCGAGTTCCAGACCCCCAGGCCCTCCACACTTCCAGCCTTCCCCCCCCCCTCACATGGGGAGACAGACACCATAGGGGAGAGCCCCCCACAACCAGAGGGCCCCCCGCCTTTCCAGCCCTCCCCCACGTCCGCATCCTCCTCTTTCAGATGGCCCCACTTGCAGACCCCACCATTTATAGGCACCTCCCCATTTCCAGCCCCCTCACTTCAGACCAGATTCCCCAAATTTCCAGCCCCCCCACTTCCACATTCTTTCTCTTCCAGCACCCATATTTCCAGCCCCCTCCCACATTTGAGACCCCCCCACTTCAACCCCCCTCCCCCACTTGCAGATATCCCTACATATTTCCTGACACACAAACCCTGATTTCCAGCCCCCTTCACATTTCCAGACCCCTCTCCCCCCCCCCGGACGTGACCCCCCCTTCCAGCCCCCTCCCCCATAGACTTCCAGAGTCCCCCCTCCCACTTCAGGCACTCCACATTTCCAGCCCCCCCCCACACACACACTTGCAGATATCCCCATATTTTCAGCCCCTCCCACAAGACCCCCCTCCCCACAGACTTCCCCCACTTCAAGACAGACACACCTGCACTTGCAGACCCCCCACTTATAGGCACCCCCGTTTCCAGGCACCCCCCCTGCACTCTCAGACCTCCCTTATTTCCAGCATTCATATTTCCTGCCCCCCAGCACATTTGAGACCCCTCCCACTTAAGGCACTCCCGCATTTGCAGTCCCTACCCCCCAACTTCCGCATCTTCTCCAAGGAACAGATCCTCCTTAGTTTCAGATGGTTCCCACCTACAGACCCCTTCCACTCGCAGGACCCCTCCCCCCCACTTCAGGGTCCCACACACACCCTTGCAGACTCCCTCCCCCCATGTTTCCAGACCCCCAGCTCTCCACACTTCAGGCAATTATATTCCCCCCACACTCTCAAATCTCCCCAGTTCCACTCCCCCCACTTCCAGAGCCCCAGCCCCCCCCCACACACCCACTTCCACATTCCCCCACTTCCAGCCCCCTCCCCCATTTGAGACTCTCCCACCCTTGCAGACCCCCCACCATATTTCCTGACACCCCCCTGACTTCCAGACCTCCAGGCCCCCGACACTTCAAGCACTTATAGTTACACCCACTTCCGACCCCCAAATTCCAGACCCCCCAATCCCCCCACTTCAGATCCCCCCCACTTCGAACCTTTCCCCACTTCCAGACACCCCTGTTTCCAGATTCCCCTCCGCTTCCGAGACCCAGCCACCCCCTGCAATAGATGGGGAGGGTCCCTGAGCCTCAGTGCCCCCTCCCCTCAGCCAAGGGCTTTCCCGGGGGTCTCCTCCCAGCTCGAGCCAGGCCAGCTCCCCTCCTGGATGCCAAGGCTCCCCACCAGCTCCTTGGAAGTAGGATGGTGCCGTGTTCCCATGGGGGACCCTGCCCACTTTTAAGCCCTGTGGACTCCAACTCCCAGAGTTCCGCAACCAACATGGCAGAATGGGGAATTCTGGGTGTTGAAGTCCACGAGGCATAAAAAGTCACCAAGCTTGGCCGTCCCAACTTCATGGAGCCAACTGTGCCAGTGACTCCAAGCACTCAACTTTCCCCCCCTCCCCGACCTTCTCGGGGGGACCCTCTTCTTCTAAACAAGGAGACCCCCCCCCCCCAAAAAATATGACACTCTTCCCTTGGATAAGGGGGCTTTGGGAGCCTCCCCTGACCGTCTCACCCGCTCCTTTGGCATCTGGTGGGACACAGCTGGCCGTGCCAAGGGCGTGGCATGCCCTGTGGCCATGGAGGGAAGGTGGTTGGCCTGGGCAGGCTGGGGAATTCTGGGAGTTGAAGTCCCACAAGGCATAAAGTGGTCCTGATTGGACTCTATCCTGATTTGTGGTCTTCCTCTGCAGCTTTCACGTCCTAAAATGAGGAAACCCATGTGGCGGGGAGGGGGGGCTAATCCCCACATTCAGCAGCCTTGGAGGGTCCTCCCAACCTTGGGAGGGGGCCCAGAGCTCTGAAGGGGGGGGGTGAGCAGAGAGACTGGGCTCCGTCTCTCCTTGTTGGTTGGTTGGTTGGCTGGCCGGGGGCATTCTGGGAATTGAAGTCCCCCCCCCCAAAAAAAGGGGCACAGGGGCACCCACCCTTACCTTGAAAGGAGCTGGCAGATGGGTCAACGCCTGCCCCTTTGTGAAGGGAGGGGAGCAGGCGCTGCCCCACTTGGTAGCAGCCCCTCCCTCTGTCCCGCAGAAGAAGAAGAGGTGGACAAGATGATGGAGCAGAAGATGAAGGAGGAGCAGGAACGGAGGAGGAAGAAGGAGATGGAGGAACGCATGTCCCTGGAGGAGACCAAGGAGCAGGTGGGCTTCCGTGCGGGGGTGGGAGGAACCTCGAAAGAAAAAAATAAAATAAAACGCCCCTCCCCACCTGGGAGGCCCCCCTTGACTGACCCTCCCTTGCTCTTCTCCCCCCCCCTCTCCAACTCCCACCCCCACAGATCCTGAAGCTGCAGGAGAAACTTCAAGCCTTGCAGGAGGAGAAGCATCAGCTGTTCCTCCAACTCAAAAAAGTCCTCCACGAAGAGGAGAAACGCCGTCGCAAGGAACAAAGGTGGGCGAGGGGTGGGGGGGCTCTCCCCACTCCTTCCTTCCCTCTCCCTCCCTCTCCCTCCTCCGCCATGGGGCAGGTGGGGTGGAGAGGCCATTGCCCAGCCTTCTGTGGCCCCTTCTGCCCCTTCCATTCTGGCCAGCAGAGCCCAGACTGTCTTGGGGGCTAACCCAGAAGCTTCCAGGGCATTGACGGATGGAGAGAATGAGAAAGAGAGAGAGAGAGAGAGAGAGGCATTCACCCCATTTGGTTTTGTGGGTCCTGGCTCCCCTTGGCCCCAAACGGGGGAGATCCAGTCACTTAACAAAACAATATCTGTGACTGAGCATCTCTGCCCCCTCTCTAGAAACTCCCTAGAATGCGTGGGGTGGGCAGAAGGGATGGGGGTCATGGCTGGCATCCAGCCGAGATCGCGACCCTGCTCCGTCCTACCGGTAGTAGGGTCGGTGATCCCCAGTCAACTATCTGGGAGAAACTCCGTGCCCGTAGAAGGGAAGATTTGTAGCTCAGTGTTGATATGTTCTCTGAGCTGGGTAGTTTTCTTACAGACGTTTCATGACCCAACTAGGGAACATCATCAGTGCTAGAAGGGGTTTGTGGAGAGAAGAAGGAAGAAAGGAAGGAAGGAAAAGGAAGGAGGAAAAGGAAAGGAGGGAGGAAGGGAAGGAAAGAAGGGAGGGAAGGAGAGAGGGAGGAAGGGAAGGAGGGAAAGGGAAGGAAGGGAAGGAGGGAGGGAAAGAAGGAAGGAGGGAAGGAAGGAAGAATAGCTGAATAACAATAACAGAGCTGGAAGGGAGCTTGGAGGTCATCTAGTCCGACAGGAAGGAAGGAGACTTTGGGGTCCTTGGTGCTCTCTGAGTTGGGTGCTTTTCTTCTAGACGTTTCATGACCCAGCTAGGGTACGTCATCAGTGCTCGAAAGGAGTGGAGTTTGCAGGGAGGAGGAGGAGGAAGAAGAAAAGGACTCTGAGGTCCTTGGTGGTCTCTTGGAGTTTGGAGGTTTCCTCACAGACCTTTCAGGACCCAACTAGGTTACATCATCAGTGTTGGAAGGGAGTGGGGTTCGCAGAAAGAGGAGGAAGAGGAAGAAGAAAAAAGGACGGGGGGGTCTCTGAGTTTGGAGGTTTTCTTCCAGACGTTTCAGGACCCAACTAGGTTACATCATCAGTGCTACGGGAGAAGGGAGTAAGGTCTGTGGAAAGGAGGAGGAAGACGTTTCAGGACCCAGCTAGGGAACGTCATCAGTGCTCGAAGGGCAGTGCGGTTAGAGGGTTTTTTTGGGGGGGTGGGGGGACAAGGACTCATAATGTGTTTCCAGTGCGGAAGCAGCCACCAAGGGAAGAGGGGCTCACTGGCAGCCACTGAGTGGGGAGGGCTGGGGGGCTCCAGGCTGCTCTGGGGGGGGGACTGACTGTTTTCCCTTGCTTCCTCTTTCCCCCCACAGCGATATGACCACCTTGGCGGCGGCCGCCTACCAGCAGGGCATGGCTGTGCACGCTGGGACCCACATCCTCAACATGCAAGGTGGGTCAGCACTCCGTCAAGAGAGGGTGGGGGGGCTGAGATCCAGGCAGGGAGTGGGGGGGGGCACCCAGGGCATCGGCTGCAGCCCCAGGATCTCCCGAAAAATTTTCATGACGGGGGAGTCCTCAGTTTAGGACCACAATTCGGCCCCCCGATTTCCCGCTGCTAAACGAGAGGCGGCGGTGAAGTGAATTTTGCCTCCTTCCTACGGCCTTTCTTGCCGCGGTTCTTAAGCGAATCACTGCGGTGGTTCAGTGAGTCACACGGTCGTTAAGCGAATCCGGCTTCCCGCGTGGACTTCGCTCGGCAGAAGGTCGCAAAAGGGGATGACGTGACACCCCCCCCCAGGACACTGCGACCATCATAAATACGAGTCAGTGGCCGAGTCTGAATTTTTTAAGGGGGATACTGCAACGGTCATAAGTGTGAAAAACAGTCGTTTTCTCAACTTCCAACGGTCACTAAAAGAACTGCTGTAAGTCGGAGACTACCTCTACAGGTATAGTCCTCGCCTTACGACCACAGCTGAGCCCCACATTTCCGTCGCTAAGCGAGACATTTGTTAGGCGAGTTTTGCCCCGTTTTTACGACCGCTTCTTGCCTCCGGTGGTTAAAACGCATCGCTGCAGTTCACTCAGTAACCCGGTCGTTAAGTGAAATCCGGCTTCCCCGTTGATTTGGCTCGCCGGAAGTTCGCAAAAGAGGATTGCGTGACACACACACACACAGAGACACTGCAACCGTCAAGAAATTTTAAATGTTTTAATTGGTTTGTATTTTTAATTTTGGGCCAAATTTACATATATTTTAATTGTTTTTTAATATTTGTATTTTATGTTTTTTAATTCTGGCTCTACCCGCCCTGAGTCCTCAGGGAGAAGGGCGGTATATAAATTTAAAATAAATAGATAGATAGATAGATAGATAGATAGATAGATAGATAGATAGATAGATAGATAGATAGATAGAGTCAGTGGCCGAGCGTCTGAATTTTGATCCAGTGACTGCAGGGAGGGGATGGCTGCAACTGTCATAAGTCTGAACAATGGTCCCTAAACGTTCAGTGCCCTTTTAACTTTGGAACGGTCCCTAAACGAACCGTCGTAAGTGGAGGACTAACTATATTTGGGGAACTGCTTTAAGCATAGGAAGAAGCATAAGCCTCCCAGAGTTGCTTCGGATGGCAAAATGGGCAGCTCGATGGTCTCTCTCTCTCTCTCTCTCTCTCTCTCCCCGCAGGGAGCCCGGGGGCCACAACAGAGCTGCCACCCTCATCCCGGCTGATCGTGCCAAGCAGATGTTCGGTCCGCCGGTTATCACGGTAAAGACCCCCCAAGAGGGAGACCCTGGTTTTACTCAAAAAAAAAAAAAAAAACGGCCCATTTGAATACAGAATAATAAGAGTTGGAAGGGGCCTTGGAGGTCATCTAGCCCAACCCCCTTAGTCAAGCAAGGAGACCTGCACTTAGGGATTCGAACCGCCGAATTGCTGACTTTTCTGATCGACAAGCTCAGCCTCTTAGCCACTGAGCCACCTAGTCAGGTCTCACTGACCTGTTCCCACGTCGGATGCTGAACCTGGTTTCGTTCATCGTGGTAGTTTGAACAAGCTACGATCAGTTAGGCTCCCGCATCTCCCCCCCCCCCCCCAAGTCTCGTTTACAACCGCAGGCAAATTTAGTTCACCCGACAAGCATGAAACTCGGTTACATGTTGGTTTATCAAAACAGCGATCGTGGAAGGCTGGGGAATGGCGGGATTAGTCCCCAAATCTTAAATGTGTGGCCACGGCCTTATACAGGGAGTCTTTGACTTACGACCACGACTTATTTATGTCGCTAAGTGAAAAAAAATTTTGTTCAGCGGCTTTTGCCCCCCATTTTAGGACTTTTTCATGCCGGCGTAAATGAATCCCTTCCGTTGTTAAGTGAGTCACGTGAGTTGTTAAGTGAATCCGGCTTCCCCGTTGAATTTGCTTGTGAGAAGGTTGCCAAACGGGGATCATGGGACATCCCCCAGGATGCTGCAAACCGTCATAAATCTGAGCCGGTTGCTAAGCGGGTGAAAAACAATCCTACCCCCCCCCCTTTTTTTTTTCTTCCAGTGCCGTTGTAACTTCTAACGGTCGTTAAACGAACCGTCGTAAGTCAAGGATTCCCTGCATGGGGGTTTACAACTCAGAGGAAAATGACTTTGAGGGCAGGAATATCCAGGAAAAAAGGCCAGAGTTGTCTTCTGATCCCCACTTTTTTGGGGGGTGTTTCTCTTCTCCCTGACAGACGCGACATTTTGCGACCCAGCCAGCTTTCCCGGCTGGCACCCCGGAACATGGGCAGTACCAGGGCAGCCAAACCGGGCACAGCCCCTACGCCGTGGGGCAGGGCCAGCACACGGTGCCCGTCAGCTACGCCAGCAGCCAGTCCATCCGAGGTGAGCAGGACGAGAGGGCCGGGTCAGTCCCCGGGAGCCTCCTGAAGACAACTTGTGTGGGGCAGAACAAGCCAGGATTAAACCCACATCCTACCCACGTCTCTTCCTCCTCCCTTCCAGGCCCGTCGGCTTTCTCCACGATGCAGTATTTGCCCCAGCAACAACCTGGTTATGCCATCCACGGTCACTTCCCCGCTGCCCAGGCGGGTAAGTTCTGGTACCAAGGGTGGGGAGGGGCCCTCCTGAGGCCATCCATTCCATCCCCTGCTCGGAGCCGGGGGGGGGCAGCCAAAGACATCTTTCCCCTTTGCACCTTTTTCTGAAACGCAAGACGCATCAAGGATGTTCCTTCTTCTCCCTCCCTCCTCCCTCCCTCCGTCCTTCCTCCCTCCCTCCATCCATCTCTTCCTCCCCCTCTCCTTTCTTCTTTCATCCCTCCCTTCCTCCTCCTCCTCCCCCCTCCTTCCTCTCCCCCCTTCCTTCCTTTCTTCTTTCATCCCTCCCTCCATCCCTTTTCCCTTCCCACTCCTCCTATCCCCTCCTCCATTCCCCCTTCTTCCTTGCTTTCTTCTTTCCTTCCTTCCTTTTCCTTCCTCCCTCCCTCTCTCATCCCTCCCTTCCTACTCCCCCTCCCTCCTTTCTTCTTTCCACCCTCCCTCCCTCATCCCTTCCTTCCTCCTTCCTCTCCCACCTTCCTTCCTTCCTTCATCCCTCCCTCCATCCCTTCTCCCTTCCCCTCCTTCTATCCCCTCCTCCATTCCCCCTTCTCCCTCTCTCCTTCCTTTCTTCTTTCCTTCTTCCTTCTTTCCACCCTCCCTCCCTCATCCCTCCCTTCCTCCTTCCCCCTTTCCTCTCCCACCTTCCTTTCTTCTTTCATCCCTCCCTCCATCCTTTCTCCCTTCCCCCTCCTTCTATCCCCTCCTCCATTCCCCCTTCTCCCTCTCTCCTTCTTTCCTTTCTTCTTTCCCTCCCTCCCTCCATCCCTCCCTCCCTCCTTCCTTTCCCACCTTCCTTTCTTCTTTCATCCATCCCTTCTCCTTTCCCCCTCCTTCCATCCCCTCCTCCATTCCCCCTTCTCCCTCTCTCCTTCCTTCTTTCCTTCCTCCATTCCTCCCTCCTTTCTTCTTTCCACCCTTCCTCTCCCACCTTCCTTCCTTCCTTCTTCCATCCTCCCTCCCCCCCTCTTTCCTTCCTTCTCTCCACCCCTTTTCTGATGATGTTTGCGCCTTTTTATGTCCGCTTAAGGTTTCATCCCGCCGAGCACCACGATCCCTCTCCAGAAGCAGCTGGAACACGCCAATCAGCAGTCCGGATTTTCCGATTCGGTGAGTTCGAATCCTGGGCATTCCTTGGCTCAGCCAGTTCCGGTGCAGGCGTTTCAAGAGGAGCAGGCCAGGTTTGGGTTAAGGGTTAAGAGAGATCAGGCTAGAAACCAGCAGACGGTGAATTCTAGTTCCACCTTAGGCGTGGAAGTCGACTGGGTGACTGAGGAAATCACCTGGAGACAGTGAGTTATAGTTCCCATTTTATCCATGAAAGCCAGCTGGGTAACTTTGGGCCAATGACCAGGAGAGGGTGAATTCTAGTTCCACTTTAGGCCCGAAAGCCAGCTGGGTGACTTTGGGCCAATGACTAGGAGACAGTGAGTTATAGTTCCCATTTTATCCATGAAAGCCAGCTGGGTGACTTTGGGCCAATGACCAGGAGAGGGTGAATTCTAGTCCCATTTTATTCATGAAAGCCAGCTGGGTGACTTTGGGCCAATCACTAGGAAACTGGGAATTCTAGTCCCACTTTAGCCATGAAAGCCATCTGAGTGACTTTGGGCCCAGTGACCAGGAGACGGTGAGTTCTAGTTCCACCTTAGGCACGAAAGCCAGCTGGGTGACTTTGGCCCAATCACCAGGAGACGGGGAGTTCTAGTCCTTACTGTTATCCTACACGATCCAAAGTCTATGTTTTTCCTGTCCAAATCTGGAAGGTAGAAAAGTGTCTTATCAGATAAAAAAAAAATATTTTGGGCCACCTGAAGGTATCTAGACGGGCTGAGTGGTCCCTGCCCTCAAATTTGAGAGAGAGGTGGGATATGCTGACCCCTTTGGGGCTCCACCCTTGTGTCTTTCAGTCGACGCTTCGTCCGATGCACCCCCAGGCCCTTCATCCGAACCCGGGTCTCCTACAAGCCTCGCAGCTCCCCGTCCAAATGCAGACCACCGCCAAGGTAAGGCCGGCGTTGGCAGAGCCGGTGCCCATCAGTGTGCCCCTTTTGAATGGGGCCAATGATTACAGTGTCATTTTTATGGGCAAGTCAGCGATCCATTCCTTCCCTTTCTTGTCCTGCTGGCTGATGGTAGTTTATTATTTTTACTTATTTATTAAATGGATCTGCCCTCCCTCCCTCCGTCTTACCATATAATCAACGCAATAGGAGATGTAGTAACAATCATCAACTTCTTTTAACGAGCCCATAATCCTTTGCCGGGTGGAGTCTGGGCAACGGAATGGAGCTAGCAGAGTGTTTTTTACTGGCCGGATGCCTTTCCTGGTTGCCAATGAGGAGTTTTGTCCAGCAGATAAATTCTCATTGTGCCCAGAGAGAGAAATACCCGCCTCTACCTAGGATCGAACTCGCGGCCTCCTGATTCTGAGGCCAGAGCTCCACCTCTAGGCCACGGCACCACTCAAAAGATGTAGAAACAATGATAAAGATTAAAAAAAAAGCAAATTATTGCAAAAAGTGAACTAATTAAATATGCTTTTTTTTTTTCTTTCTCCTTTTCAAACATGCTGCAGCCCAGTTTGGCCTACACTCATACGGCCCGGCCTGCGTCTCCGGGGAGCTTCCCACAGCAGCCTCACACGGTACGTTTTCCGGTGGGAGGCGGGGGGTGTTGAAATTAAAGCAAAGGCCGCGGTGAGACTAGAACTCACGTCGCCTGGTGGCTTCTCCAGTGTCACTCAGCTGGCTTTCATGCCTCAGGCGGGACTAGAACTCACCGTCTCCTGGTCATTGCCCCAAAGTCATCTAGCTGGCTTTTGCGCCTAATGGAGAACTAGAACTCACCGTCTCCTGGTGATTGGCCCAAAGTCACCCAGCTGGCTTTCATGCCTAAATGAGAGCTAGAACTCCCCACCTCCTGGTGACTTATCCAAAGTCACCCAGCTCTCTTTCATAAGGTGGGACTAAAACTCACCGTCTCCTGTTGATTGGCCCAAATTCACAAAGCTATTTTTAACGCCTTATGTGGGACTAGAACTCTCAGTCTCCTAGTCATCGGACCAAAGTCACCCAACTGCTTTCAGGCCTAAGGTGGGACTAGAACTCCCAGTCTCCTGGTGATTGGCCCAAAGTGACCCAGCCGGCTTTCCTGCCTGAATGAGGGCTAGAACTCACCATCTCCCTAACGATTGTCCCGAGATCACCCAGTTGCCTTTCACGCGTAAGATGGGACTAGAACTCCCAGTGTCTCCTGGTTATTGGCCGACGTCACCCAGCTAGCTTTCATGCCTTAAACGAGGACTATAACTCACCCGGTCATTGGCTTAAAAGTCACCTGCCAGTTTTCATGCCGAAGGCAGGACTGGAATTCACCGTCTCCTGGTTTCTGGATCAGCACCTTAACAGTTTAACACCAGATGTGATTGTGCTTGAGAATGGTGTGATTTTTGTGTGTGTTGTGTTTAAACCTCTTCCTTCTCAACGGCTTCTCTCTTGCAGTCTGGCTTCCAGGCTTCTCCCCAGACCGCACCCCGACATCCTTTCATACAGCACCCGCAAGGGCAGCGTTTCTACCACAAGTGAGCCTGGCAGACCCCCAACCCCCCCAACCCAATTGGCTGTTTCAGCGTCCTTCCCCCAGTCCCCCTGCCCGGCATGGATCCGGAAGGTCTCTCTCGGACGAGCGTCGAATCCTTTTGATTTCCTTCCTGGCCTCTCTCCAGAAATGACATGAATTTTTTTTTTGCAAAAACGGCGTTCTCAGAAAATCCATTCTACGGCTTTTCGTTTTCAAGAGGAGGGCGAGCGTGGCGTGGTTTGTTCCAACCTCCCATTTAGCCAGGATGGGGGGAGGTTTTTTGGGGGGGGGGTGTCATGCATGCAAATTAAGCTGCGGCGAACGAAGTAAAACCAGGTGCATATCGTGCATCAAATTTTCCTTCGGGATCTTAGCACCTTGGGTGCTAAAAGATAAAAGCCGAATCGGACGCTTTCCTGCAATCGGATGGGATGAAATTTTCCCCCCGAGTGGATTACGTTGGCTGCACGCAGGGTTCAAATTTCTCTTTCTTGCAGAATTTCTGTGCAATTCCGCTCTGCTGGCAATTCCTCCACCCAGCAGTTCTCGACTTCGGCCTCTTAAAAACGGGTGGACTTCAACTCCCAGAATCCCCCAGCCAGCAGATCATTTCCCCATTTCATTGCCGTGCCACCTTTTATTAATTTATGCGGGCTTATTAATTTAGCTTGTCGTGGGTATTTTTTTTTTAACTTTGCTGAAGTCAAGATATATTACTGCATTCCCACCATCTATTAAGAAAGTTTTATTTTAGCAGGGGGTTGGACTGGATGACCTATAAGGTCCCTTCCACCTCTGTTAATCTGTTTAATTAGTCCAGACACATTTGTTGTTAAACCTTTGCTGGCCGGGGAATTCTGGGAGCTGAAGCCCGCCCATCTTCAAAGGGACGGGGTTGAGAAACATGGATGTGACATTTTTTTTCATGGACTTGAAGAATTCTATCGTCAGCCCGCTGGGTTAGATCTTCTTCCGATTAAACATTCTCTGTACTTAATATATTATCCTAAGGTTCTAGTCCTCACTGCTCTTCTGTGAGCTTGTTCCGTTATGTCTTAAGTTGTTTTTAAAAGGTGGTGCCTAGAACTCAATACAAGGGAGTGTAACCAACCCTGAATAAAGGGGAATATTACGGTAGCTTTTGTGCGTGTGTGTGATTTGAACGCTGTACCCGTTGAACATCCTAAAACTGCCCTGCTGATCCATACTCGGCTTGTCATTTATCCACTATTTTGGGGAGGGGGTTGTAACAAGCACTGTCCCCTGTCCATTTAATGGAATACATCGACATAAAATATAGGTGGACTTCAACTCCCAATATTCCCCAGCCGGCAAGGGAATTCTGGGAGATGAAGTACAGGGGTCATTGAAACATGGCCGCCTCAGGAATTCTGGGAATATAAATCCAGAGGTCATTGAAACATGGCCGCCTCAGGAATTCTGGGAATATAAATCCAGAGGTCACTGAAACATGGGCACCTCAGGAATTCTGGGAATATAAATCCAGAGGTCACTGAAACATGGGCACCTCAGGAATTCTGGGAATATAAATCCAGAGGTCACTGAAATGTGGCCGCCTCAGGAATTCTGGGAATATAAATCCAGAGGTCACTGAAACGTGGCCGCCTCAGGAATTCTGGGAATATAAATCCAGAGGTCACTGAAACATGGCCGCCTCAGGAATTCTGGGAATATAAATCCAGAGGTCACTGAAACATGGCCGCCTCAGGAATTCTGGGAATATAAATCCAGAGGTCACTGAAACATGGCCGCCTCAGGAATTCTGGGAATATAAATCCAGAGGTCACTGAAACATGGGCACCTCAGGAATTCTGGGAATATAAATCCAGAGGTCACTGAAACATGGCCGCCTCAGGAATTCTGGGAATATAAATCCAGAGGTCACTGAAACATGGGCACCTCAGGAATTCTGGGAATATAAATCCAGAGGTCACTGAAACATGGCCGCCTCAGGAATTCTGGGAATATAAATCCAGAGGTCACTGAAACATGGCCGCCTCAGGAATTCTGGGAATATAAATCCAGAGGTCACTGAAACATGGCCGCCTCAGGAATTCTGGGAATATAAATCCAGAGGTCACTGAAACATGGCCGCCTCAGGAATTCTGGGAATATAAATCCAGAGGTCACTGAAACGTGGCCACCTCAAGAATTCTGGGAGTTGAAGTCCAGAGGTCATTAAAACATGGCCGCCTCAGGAATTCTGGGAATGTAAATCCAGAGGTCATTGAAACATGGCCGCTTCAGGAATTCTGGGAGTTGAAGTCCAGAGGTCATTGAAATGTGGCCGCCTCATTGAAGTCCAGAGGTGGTAAAGGAGGCGCACACTGCTTAAACTGAGGAAGGTATGGGATTATCCAGATGTGCCATGATGCACCTGGTGGGACAGGTAGATTCTCCTGAAGGTGCCCAGATACGGGGTCTCTCTAGGACCGAGCCAATCAGAAGATACTGGCCACCAGTGGAGAACCTTGACCACTCGTGGCTTCTGCTTCTGGTGATTTGACATCCGACGGCAACCCTCCCGGCCACTATATTCCACATCACTGATGGGTTTTGCGTGGGCCTTCCCACACGGATCCTTTCAGACCTCTTTATGTTCATCGTGAAGTTGAGTTCTGGATAGAAAGCCCCCATGCTCCAACTTACGACCATTCACTTAGTGACCAAACATTCAAAGCACCTGGGGCCAACGGACTCCTACTGTTGCAGTGTCCCCGTATGTGTGTGTGTGACACAATCCCCTTTTGCAACCTTCCGACTAGCAATGGGGGCCGGTGGGTAGCCAGATTCGCTTAACGACCGTTTTACTAACGTTTACACGGATGGACGCCACCATTCCCCACCGACCCACTAGCTTTTTCCTCCTCCCCACCCCCTTGGGTCTCTGAGCAGACCCTTCCCCTGGCCAGGACAAGGCTTCCCCCCCCTTGCAAGAGAGACCCCCCAATGACACATAACCACAGCCAGGTTTTCATATTAAACTTGTTTTTATTGAGGTTGATTAACAAATGGGTTGGATTAACAGGGCGAGAGGGAGGGGCACGGGTGGGTGGGTGGGGGGCACAGCTTGACCTGTGAACAGCAGAGGAGAGTAAATATGAACCAAGGAGACAGTTTGGGGAGGGGGTGCTAGTTGGTTAAACTCCCCCCCCCCTTCTCCCCCAAAAGATTCCCTAACCTGAAAAGAGTTTCTTGGGGGGGGCGAGATACCCAGGACGAGGAGGAGGGGGTGGGGGGCGATGATAACTCCCAAGAACGAGGGAGGGGCTCGGAGGCAGCTACAAGCATGGGAGGGGGGAGGGGGGGCGAGGAAAGATAATCAAACATGATTGACAGGGACCAGAGTAACCCTGCCCCTATACTCCGCGCAGAGGGCAGGTCCCCGTCATTCCAGGCCCGGCAGGGGTCTTCCTGCCCCACGGTTGCAGACAAAAGGGGGCTCCAGCGAGGAGGAGGAGGAGAAGGAAGAGGGTTTAAGCCAAGCTCAGCAACCAGAGTGGAGACCCCACCCACCCACCAAAAATCCGTGGGTAACCTCCAAGCACGAAAGAAGTGACCGAAACCTCTGCAACCCACCCAAGCAGACAGGTATTGGGGAGGGGGACACAAAAATAAAAACTAAACAGCCCCCAAATACCAACCCTCAACAGAAACGCTCAGAAACGGGATGGGGAGGGGAGGGGCAAGCCCACGGGGCATCTTGCTTGGCTGGGAGGGGGGGGGAGGAAAAAGGGGACAGCGTCTCACACCCCCTCCCCAAATTCTCTGCCCTCTCCTCACGAGAGGAGGATGAAAATGGCAGGAAAAAAAAGAGACGGGGGGGAAAAAAAGGGGGAGAACCGAAGAAGAAGAGTCTGTCGTGATGGTTTTCTTTCCACTCTCTCCCTCCTTTCCTTTCCTTCCTTCCTTCCAGCAGTTTTTAAATATTTCTCCTTTTTTTTATTCTTTTTAAGTGCAAATTTTCTCAACTTCTCTTTGCCAGGACAAAAAAAAAAAAAAAAATAACGGTTGTAGTGTGACTAGCACCCGAGAGGAGGAGGAGGAGGAAGGTGAGGGGGGGGAGGAAGGAGGGCAGAGGGAGGGGTCAAAATAAAGAGGGGGGGAGAGAATAATAATGATGATTACATCAGCATCCAGCTCTTGGAGAGGGGAGGGGGGAGATTTTTTATTTTTTATTATTTTCTTGCCTCTTTTTTTTTTTTTGTCTGTTTGCTCTTTTTTAAAAAGACCACAAAATAAAAAGCTTGGTTTTTCTTTCGTTTTAATTCAAAAGGGAAGGATTCGAAGAGGGGGGGTGGGTGGATGGGAAAAGGGAGGGGGGCGTTTGTTTTGTTTGAAAGGAAGGGAAAGAGAGAAGAAAGAAGAAGAAGAAAAGAAAAAGGGGGAAGGGGAGGGGGAAAAAAACCAAGATTTTGGGTGGGTTTGGAGCCCAATCTGACAGTCTGCGGGTTGCGATCCTCTCTGGTTCATTATAAGTTTGTTGCGGCTGCGGCTGTTGCCTGCGAGGGGGGGGGGGGAGAGGAGAGAAAGAGGGGAGTTAAAAAGAGGAAAAAGAAAGGACTCCAAAGCCCATCCATCCCTCTCCCCCACCTGCTTCCCCGTCCGTACCTGGACTCACCTGTGGTTCCTTTATTTAGCCATGGCTTTGATGGCGACAGCAGCTTCCTCCGTCATTGCAGACAGAACGGTGATCTGGGGGGAGGGAGGGGGGGAGGAAGAGAGGAGGTCAGGAGGAGGAAAAATGGGGGGGTCTTTGCTGTGCTTCCCCCCAAAAAAATTGCTGCACCCCAAAAAAGTCAAGGACCTCCCTAAACCTCAGCACTGAGATCCTTCCAAGTGCTGGAATCTCTTCTGCTCCATTTCTCAATCCATGGCAGCTGGAAGGTGGTGGGGGGACTACAACTCCCAGAATTCCCCTGCCGGCCGCCATCTTCCCTCCCTGTGGAGGCCGGCTGGGGAATTCTGGGAGTTGAAGTCCACCCATCTTCACGCTGCCAAGGTTGGAAAACAAAACAAAAAAACATCTTAAGTAACTTATTGAATTGCCAAGAACCACGCCCCTTCGCACAGGTAATCCTCGACTTACAACCGCCACCGAGCACAAACTTTCCGTTGTTAAGCGAGTGAGTTTGGGCCCCACGTTACGGCCTTTCTGGCCATAGTCGCTAAGGGAATCGCGGCAGTTCTTAAATGAGTCTCACGGTTAATTTATTAGTTCAATTATTTATTAGTTCAATTTATATGCTGCCTTTCTCCGGAGACTCGGGGTGAAATTTTAAGTGTGAAATAGGGTCGTAACTCACATTTTTTTCAGTACAGCTGTAACTTTGGTCACTAAACGAACTGTTGTAAGTCGAGGATTTTGTATATACACACAAACGTACAGATACATCTGTACATATATTACATACAAATAACACAGACACATGCACAGAATTGCATGCCGATGCTTTCTTTAAACAACTGATTTGCGTGAGCTGTGTGGAGGCCATGCGCTAAATAAACGAAACAAGCCCCTCCCTCCCCCTCCAGGAAGGGCGCCCCCCCCCCCTCCACCCCTCACCAGTATTTCTTCTCCACTGTCGTATTTCTGTTCGATCTCCTTGCCCAGGTCTCCCTCAGGGAGACGCAGATCCTCCCGGACATCCCCGCTGTCCTGGAGCAGAGAAAGGTAGCCATCCTGGATCCCAATAAGCTGCAAGAGGAAGAGGAAGAGGAAGAGGAGGGTGAAGACACCGGCTGGCCGGCCGGGATTCCCGGAAGGAGCTTTCAAAGGCCCCTCCTCTTGGGAAAAGCCCCCCCCCCAAACCCGGCCAGGATTCGAACCAGTCACACTTGTCAGCCAGGGGTGGGGAAAAAGATCCCATGGTTATTTAAAACACCCCTTTTCTCAATTTGAAGACGGGTGGACTTCAACTCCCAGAATTCCCCCCAGCCAGCGTTACCACTTTCCCATTTAATTGCCACGCCATCTAGCCCGTATTTAACCTATTTCATTTAACCTGTTTTATTTAACCTATTGAATGCATCATGGGTTATTTTTTATCTTTCATGTTGCTGAAGTCAAGATATATTACACTGACTGCATTCCCACCGTCTATTAAGAAAACAGGTGATAAAATGCGATATAGACATATTTCTTGTCCCATCAGGCTGAATATTGGCCAACCTTTGCTGGCTGCGAGTTCAAGTCCTCCCATCTTGCCAAGGTGGAGGATTTAACAGGTAACCTGCGGCTTCTACCTGGCTCACATGATCGCCTGATAGGGCTAGGAGTGGCCCCTCTCGGCTGTTAACACCTGGCCACTGCCCTGCGAGAGCCAGCTTGCCCCCCCCCCCCCCCCGCACCCTGGCCAGGTTCAAAAGTGGCCAGGAAAACTGGGAGTCGTGCTTCGGGAAACGGGCGGCTTTGTAAATCTGATCGCCAGACCGTGTGTGCTGACCGCAAGGCCCGAGGGCCTACCTGGAAGTCATTTCTCTTGATGTTGGGCACGTCCATGTTGTGAGTGGAGGGGCAGATATCTTCATATTTTTTCCCAGTGAAGATGTCGATGCCGACGAGATGCACCTGGGAGGGCAGCAGAGGGAGAGAACGGCTTTAAGCACCATACGAGGGGGGGGGAGAGGGGGGAGGAGGAGGAAGAGGGGAGGGGGAGAAGGTGGTGGTGGTGCAGGACTGAGGGGTCCTTGGTGCTCTATGAGCTGGGTGGTTTTCTTGCAGACGTTTCGTGACCCAACTAGGGAACAACATCAGTGCTAGGAGGAGGAGGAGGAAGAGGAGGACTGAGGGGGTCTTTGGTGCTCTCTGAACTTGGTGATTTTCTTGCATTTCACGTTTCATGACCCAACAAGGGAACATTATCATCCGAGTACATATTTTGTGTCCTCTACTTCCTCCTCCATCATTTTCTTACTATATTTCTATCATATATTTCTTACTATATTTTCATTTATTAGAACATTCTTTCCAAATTTCCTACATTTAATTCATTTTATGCCTTTCTCCCCATTTTTCTTACGTTTCTATCTGGCTTTTACATCTTCATTCAACTCATTACATTCTCCAACCATTGATAAAATTGCCCCGTATCTTTAAAATACTCCGATTCTTCTTTTTTCTTTCATTGCCAACGCTAATCTATTCATTTCTGCACATTCCAATGTTTTCTTAATTACTTCTCCCTCTGTAGGGACTTTCGCTGCTTTCCACTTTTGTGCAAATACAATCCCCGCTGCAGTTATGACATGTATAATCAAGTATATATTTTCTTTACTATATTTCAAGGGAATATCATCCGTGCTAGAAGGGAGTGGGTTTTGCAGGGAGGAAGAGGAGGAGGAGGAAACAGCCGTGCCTGGCAAAAGAGTGTTTAAATTGCTTTAAGAAGTTTTCAGCATTTTCATTGTAACTTATTGGTTGAGTTGTAAGTTACCCGGAGTCATTGAGCTGGGGCAGCTATAGAAATTGAATAAAATAAATAAATTTATGAATTAAAAACCCCAAAACCCAGATGAAGCCAGGCATCACCGGTGGAAAGAGTGAATCAGATGCTCAAATGATGTCCTTATATATTTAGTCCGTATGTCAGGCAGGATAAACCGGGAAGGACTTTTTGGCTCCTGACAAGCCACAGGGAGGAACGAGAGGTTTCAAGAGGAAAGTTAATTTCCGCTGAAAATGTTTAAAGCAATTGATATGTTAATGACTGGATTCTAATGGAAGCTGAAACTCTTGAGGCTCCTGGCGTACGTTTAAAAAAAAAAGGGATTTTAATCTTTAAAAAAGTTTAATTTCATTTTAATTTTTAATTTAATTTTTAAAATGCCCGGGTTGGAATAATAGCGATATTATGTATTGTTGTGATGGGTCCACCTGGAGCTGCTCTTAAAATAGCCTTAGAAATTCTGGCTTTGTTTTATATTCAGGTCGTCCTCGACTTACGACCCCAACTGAGCCCAGAATTTTATGCTGCTCGGTGAGAAATTTGTTCAGGGAGTTTTGCAGCTTTCCTGGCCCCGTTTGTTAAGCGAATCAACTGCGATTGCTTAACTGCATGGTTCTTAAGTGAATCTGCCTTTCCTGGTTGACTTTCCTCGTCAGATGGACGCAAAAGGGGATCACATGATCCCAGGACACTGACCGTCGTAAATGTGAACCAGTGGTCAAGCATCCAAGTGTAAATCTTTATGTCCGTGGGGATGCTGCAATGAATGGTCGTAAGGGTGAAAAACGGTCCTAAGTGACTTTTTTCAGTGCCGTCGTAACTTCGAACGGTCACTGAATGAACTTTTGTAAGTCAAGGACTACCTGGATATCTCTAGCATTGAAGGGGGCCGGACATGCTTGGATGCTATGGGGTAAGAAATTAAAATTTGACTTCTGGTCTCCAGGTAGTCCTTGTTTTACAACCGTTCGTTCAGTGACTGTCTGACAAAAGTGACATTTTTCACACTTAACGACCGTTGTAGCGCCCCTGTAGTCACAAGAACCCACCCACCCCCATTAGTTGTTGATTACAGGTATCCCTCAACCTACAACCACAATGCAGCCCAACCCTTCTGTTGCTCTGCAGGACAAGTTGAACTTGGCCGTGATTTGACGACCTTTCTTGCCACAGTCGTTAAGCGAGTTGCTGCAGTTGTTAAATGAGTCATGTGGTTGTTAAGTGAATCCGGCTTCCCCTTTGCTTGTCAGAAGGTCGCAAGAGGGGATCACGTGACGCACACACACACCCGGGACGCTGCGACCGTCATAACTACGAGCGTCCCAATTTTAATCACGTGACCGTGGAGATGCCGCCACGGTCGTTAAGTGTGAAAAACGGTCGTTAAAGCCGCTCTCTTCCCTGTCACTCGGAATGAATTGTCGTTAAGTCCAGGACTATCGCGGATCACCCAGGCCGGGAAGGTTCACGATGAATGCCACTTTGAATCGCTCCGTTCTGATCCATTCTGGGGTGCCAAACTCCTGTACCCCCAACGTCCGTGACATTCCGCCGTCAGAAACTGGCGGTTTTCTTGCGGACGTTTCATGACCCAACTAGGGAACATCATCAGCGCTGGTTGAGTTCCACCTCCCGTTCTAGCACTGATGGTGTTATCTAGTTGGGTGGTGAAATGCCCACAAGAAATGCGTAGAGAGCCCCACGGATCCCAAAATCCTTCCTTCTTTCCTTCCTTCCTTCCTTCCTTCCTTCCTCTCTTACCATCCTTTCTTTCCTTCCTTCCTTCCTTCCTCTCTTACCATCCTTTCTTTCCTTCCTTCCTTCCTTCCTTCCTTCCTTCCTTCCTCTTACCATCCTTTCCTTCCTTCTTTCCTTCCTTCCTTCCTTCCTCTTACCATCCTTTCCTTCCTTCTTTCCTTCCTTCCTTCCTTCCTCTCTTACCATCCTTTCTTTCCTTCCTTCCTTCCTTCCTCTTACCATCCTTTCTTTCCTTATTTCCTTCCTTCCTCTTACCATCCTTTCTTTCCTTCCTTCCTTCCTTCCTTCCTTCTTTCCTTCCTTCCTTCCTTCCTCTTACCATCCTTTCCTTCCTTCTTTCCTTCCTTCCTCTCCTCTCTGCAAACTCCACTCTAGCCCTGATGATGATGACCACCTTCCTTCCAGCACTGAGGGCGTTACCTAGTAGGGCCATGAAACGTCTACAAGAAATGTGCAGAGAGCCCCAAGGACGCCAAAAATCCTCCTCCTTTCTTCTCCACAAACTCCCTACTAGCACAGATGATGTTACCTTGCTGGGTCATGAAACGCCTGCAAGAAAACAACCCAGGTCAAAGAGGACCAAGGACCCCCCACAGTCCTTCCTCCTCTCCCCCTCTAACACTGATAACGTTCCCTAGTAGGGCCATGAAACATCTGGGAGGAAAAACGAAGGTCAGGGAAAGCAGACTTAAGTCCCAGGATTCTGGTCCTCCTCCTCCTCCTCCTCCTGGCCAGCTGCACAATCACACACACTCGTGCAAACACACACACACACACAAAGCAGCAAGGGGAAGACGCCACTCGACGCCTGTCGGGCGCACGCAAACCCACGCGCCACTACTCCAGCCCGGCCACAGGTCACGCCCGCTCCTTACTTTGGCGTGGCCGTGCTTGCCCGTCTTCGAAGTGGACATCTCCACAATTTTGCAGGGACGCCCCTTGAGCACCACGAAGCCGTTCTTCCGGAGGGCGGAGCACTGCATGGGGAAAGTGGCGGAGGCGCCGGCATCGCCGGTCTCGAAGTCCAGGTCATCAGCCATGGTGGATCAGATGTTGTGGAAACCGCTGGGGAAGGAGGAGGAGGAGGAGAGAGAGAGAGAGAGGAAGGTCAGGATAGAAGTGGGCAGGAGGTGTGCGAGCGTTTGCTGGACGGGCCGAGCCTGGCAAGGTTGGGAGGAGGAAATCAACCCTGCCAGGTGGGAGAAGCAGCCGAAGCTCCCAAAGCTGGAAGGGGAGAGACAGGATCATGCCTGGAGATGGATTCAAGTCTGGCCAGGCTCAGCTGTATCAGGAACGGTTGGGGGTTAGTCTAACTAAGGAGAGAAGGACCGGGGGGGGATGGGGGGGACAGGAGAGCAGGGTTCAAGTATTTGAGGGGCTTCCACAAAGAGGAGGGGGGCGTCAACTGAACTCTCTCCAAAGAAGGAATAACAGACGGAGAGAGAGAGAGAACCAAGGAGAGAAGCAACCGGGAATGAAGGAGAAACGTCCCGAAAGTGAAGGACAATTAACCAGTGGGACTGCTTGCCACCAGAAGTTGTGGGCTGGAGGTTTTTAAGAAAAGACTGGACAGGCGCTTGTCTGAAATGCTTGAGCAGGAGGGGGTTGGATTACAAGACCCCTTCCAGCTCTATTCTGATGGAAGTATTGGAGGGGCCGTTTCCAGGGAGGAGGAGGAGGGGGGGGGTCCCCCTGTTCTCCAAACCACCCGGAAGGCAGAAGCAGCAGCAGCAACGGAGGGAAACTAATCAAGGAGAGAAGCAACCTGGAAGTAAGGAGAAACGTCCTGACGGTTAGAACGATCAACCAGTGGAACAGCCTGCCACCAGAAATCGTGGGAGGTTTTCCAGTGGTCTCTCCTGCTTGAGCAGGGGGCTGGATTAGAAGACCTCTAAAGGGCCCTCCCAGCTCCACATCTATGATTCTATTACGATCAGTGCAATGGCTTCTCTCCAGAAGTTGTGGGGGCTCCAATCAATGGAAGCTTACAGGGTTCTCCTGCCTTGGCCTGGGGTGGACTAGAGGACCTCCAAAGTTCCCTTCCAATCCTATTACTCTACATCCACGCAACGTCTTTTAAAAAATGCTTCATGCCAAGGGCCACCAAAAGATCTCCATGAAGTCTCCAAATTTAGGCACTGCCCAAAAAAAAAGACCATAATATACCAGCCAACCTACTTCCTAGTTCAAGCCAGACATACGTTGGGTTTACAACCCTTTGAATCCAAAGCATACAAGGTCTTGTGAGACAAGGGGTCTCCAAACTTGGCCACTTTTAAGACCGGTGGGCTTCAACCCTCAGGATTACTGGCCGGGGAATTCTGGGAGTTGAAGTCCACAAGTCTTAAGAGTGGCCAAGTTGGACATCTCAGGGTCTGCAACCTTAAACACTCAAAAAGAGCCATTCCCACATAAAGAAAACACCGGGAGCCACAAAATGGTTGGTTTTAATTTTGATATGGATTTTAAATTGATAAATTTTAAACTATGGGCCAAATTTAATTATTTTAAATCTATTTTTAATCGTATTTATGTATAAATGTTTTTATTTTGGCTGTTCACCGCCCTGAGTCCGAAAGGAGAAGGGCGGTATAGAAATTCGAATAATAAATAAATAAATAAAACCCTTTGATGCCTGATTATTTCTTGAGTGGCCACAAAATTAGCAGATGTAGTTGAATTAAACGTTCTGTTTTCTTCTGAAACTTTCCTTTTCTTGGATTTATCCACAGTTGGCCTACCGGGGGTTGAAAAGCTCAATAAATCGCGTGCCGGTGGGTGTCGCACATTGGTGTGCATATTTTGAGTGACCGGGAGCCGCAGCAGAGGGGTGAAAGAGCCACAGGGGGCTCCAGAGCTGCAGGTTGCTGACCCCTGGTCTCAAGGAGACCCTGCCCAACTCAGCTGAAGCTGAACCAGATGCTGGGCTATTTGGGGTAAGGGGCACGGAGGGTCCCTTGCCTTATTAAGCAGATGCCCCAGCATGGGAACTCTGGAGGCAGAGACCAAACAGCGCCCAAATTCGAGCCTAGCTAGATTTTAGCGCTGCCTGTCATTTTTAACCCATCAAAAGGACAAGCTGCCAAGACAACAGCTAAATTCATTTGACCTCTTCTAAGTTGAGCAGAACCAGCTCCCAAAAACTAATGTCTTCTCCTTAAAACTTTTTTTTTTCCCCCAGCACTACTGATAATTTTCAGGATCTCCCAGTGGCTCCCCCTCCACGCCATCTCATTACTACCGCAAACTTTTAAAAAATCTACTAAAAGAACCATACAGGTAGTTCTCGAGTTATGACCACAATGGAACCCCAAATTTCTGTTGTTAAGCGAGACATTTAAGCCCTGTTTTAAGACCTTCCTTCTATTTTTTATACATACACATCCACATATGCAGGTAATCCTCGACTTACGAGCTCAACATTTCTGTTGAGTGAAACATTGTTAGGCTTTGCCCCATTTTACGACCTTTCTTGCCAGTTGTTAAACGAACCAGTTAAGCGAGCAACACATTTGTTAAGCGAATCTGGCTTCCCCGTGGACTTTGCTTGTCAGGAGGTCGCAAAAGGTGACATGGCAACCGTCATAAATACGAGTCAGTCGCTAAGCGCCTGAATTCTGATCCCGTGACCACGAGGATGCCACAACGGTCATAAGTGTGAAAAGTGATTGCAAGTCATATTTTTTTTCGGTGCTGTTCTTCATTTTGAACAGTCACTAAATAAAATGTTGTAAGTCGAGGACTACCTGAAGTCCAGCTGCCTTTTGAAAAAGCTCCTCTGAGCCAACTTCGACCTGGGTGAAATGAGAATCTCTCTCGACATTTATTCCGTCTAACTTACTAACTTTCTCTGGCCGGCAAGCCTCTCCGTTCACTTAGCAAGAAGCCTGCAAGTTCGCTTTCCATGCCAACGCGAGCCCAAGATTTAGCCAAGATCAAGCCAGACTATTTCAACCGCACCTTCTGCTGCCTGGAGCCCTCCCTGCTCTATTTTGGGATCTCTTGCTCCTCCACGGCCGAAGCGGTGAAGCTTTCAGGCACCGGGTTCTATCCCTCTCAAGGAGCAATTTCAGTCAAAATATTCTTCCAAAACGTGCAATTTTTAAAACTGCCCGATCGGTTCTGGGGAAAGGGAAGGGGGGGAATAAGCCAACAAGGATTTGGAGGGGGGGAAAAAGTTCATTTTTGGTGTGTGTATTTTTTTTAAAAAAAGAAACTTCTGAGGTTTAGCAAAGACGGAGACTTTGTGCCCCGAGGAGCCCGCTTTACTCGTTCACAAAAAGGAAAAGAAAAGAAAAATCCACCTGGCCAACATGCAAATCAGATAATAGCTTCGTGGAGCAAACAATCTTCCCTTAAGGCTTGAAAGGTCTAAGTATAGAAAATGCCCCCAAGCCCCCCAACCCACTCATCCCAGGTGTTTGGGGCGAATAAAAGCAGACCGGCCCTTTTGGAAAGGCATTTAACCCCAGGCATATCCTCCTGACCCCCTCTTCCCCCAAGGCAGAGCTCCGGAGGGAGTGGGGGCTGCTGCTCTCCAGAGGGGCTGCCCTGGAGGACCGGACAAAAGAGGGGCAGCAGGAGGGCTCCAAGGGAAGCCCAGCCCATAGAGATCGGAGCTGGAAAAACCCGATTCCCTTCCCGGGAAGGCGCTTGGAGGCTCAGCCTAGCGTTAAGACAAAGCCTGAGACCGAGGCATGAGGTGGCTGCAGACACAGCTGCTGGCTCCTTCGTCTACGGCTACACTCCCCTCCACCTGCCACGCCAAGGAGCCCCCAAGAGCGATCACTAGCCCACCCGCCCACCCCTTGCCAGAGACCAACCAGAGTCTCCTTTCCCGCTGCAAACCTGTTGGGTGAATCGACTAGCTGTCGCGGGCTGACAGCGGCTCCTCGAAAGGCCGTCAGCGGTGGTGGCAGCCATCTCTCTCGCCAAGCTGGTGGCACCGGGGAGGCCCAGCTGCCACCACCGCTACCACGTGCTTCCGATTGTGTGTGCTGCAGCCGCGGAGCAAAAGGGGAAGGGGGGAGGAGGAGGAGGAGGGCGCTGGCGAAGGAGGCAGGAAGTTTGCACCCACTTTGCTAGAGAGAGACAGAGAGAGAGCAAGGCAGCCCCTCCGGTCGGTCCGCATGTAAGGAGGGAGCCTCCCCTCGGCTCTTGCCAACCCCAAGCATGATTCAGCTAAGCTGCCACTGCGGAGAGACAGGCTCCAGACCACGTGACCGGCTTGGGGGAGGAGGAGGAGGAGGAAGGGAGCAGCCACTTTTGATCTTGACCCCAGCTGTTACCTCCCCAATTCTTGAGGGTGACAAATGTCTCCCCAAGAGAAGCTTCTGCGCAGGAGGAGCTCCCCTCCCAAGAGTCCTGGCATCTGAACAGATTCTCCCATGCCTCCAAGTCTGCTCTGAGTTTGAATCCAGCCTGAGGTCTCTGCTCTCCCCCACTCCTCCTCCTCCTCCAATGGCCCCAGGCCATCTATCTGGGCAGAAAGGAAAGCCATCAAAAGCCACTAACATGGCTGCCATAACCAATCACCACCCCACCCCCAAACTGGGCTACCATGCAAGCAAAAGCCAAGGCAAACCCACCTCCCCACTTTTGGGCTTACTCAAATGCCCCCCCCCACCTTATCTAGGTAGCAACCTAGGTAACTGGCATTAGGAAGGTGAATTTTGCCAAGGGTGCCTGCTGAACAAACCCCCCATCCAGGGAGAATCCCATGGGGGGGGGGGGCAGACAAGCTGAGTTTCAAGATTTACTTTTAAGACCTGTGGGACTTCAACTCCCAGAATTCCCCCTGCCAGTCATGTTGGCTGGGGAATTCTGGGAGCTGAAGTCCACAAGCCTTAACAGTGGCCGAGGAAGGGCCTGGCTGGGGAATCCTGGGAATTAAAAGTCCACCAAAATCACCAAGCTTGACTTAAAACCCTGCAAGGGTCGCTCTCCATCATCCAGGAAAGAAGTTCAAATCCAGCCGTCACCGTCCGGCAAAGCCATTACAAGTACTTTCCTTTCCATCCACCCTCTGCATTCCTCTCCCCCACGCCCCAAAATAAGAGCCACCCCACCCCGAGGGGCTCGACTCCCCCAAATTGCAAAAGAAAAAAAAAAGGGGGGGAAGCCGCCTTCCCAAATATGCAAATCCCTCCCCCCAAAAAAACTTTGGGTCCGGCCGGGCTCCCCTCACCCCCCCCTCAAATCAGGGGGAGGGGCTTGGCAGGCCTTCCCTTTAAAGGGCAACCACGTGCTTCGCCCTCCCCCAAAAAAGACTTGAGGTCACACAACCCGCTCGGAATGCGCCTATTTTGGGGTTTGCAAAAGCCACAACCAAACCACGAAGGGAGGGGGGGGGGAAAAAGAAGCTGGTTTAAAATGCCCATGTATTCAGCCAATATTTGGGTCTGGGGGAAGGAAGGAAGGAAGGGAGGGGGGGCTTAGCTCTGACTAAACCCCAGCTCCCTTCCTGGCCCCCCCACAATGAAATCCGGAAATCTTGGGAGAGGAGGGGGCTCCTCCAATCAGGGCTCACCCCCCTCCCCATCAGGGACCCCCTCCCCAAATTCAAGCACCTCCTACAGGAGTTCAACCCAGGACAGGCTCCCTTTAGGTGACACCCCCCATCCCAAGAAGACCAAAGCTCACCCTCCACCCTCCCCTCGCTCTCTCCCAAAGACCCCCCCTTCAAGGACTCCCCCACACACAAATTTAGGGTTCAACCCAGGACAGGCTCCCTTTAGACGACCCCCCCCTTCCAGGAAGACCCCAAATCTCTCCCCCTCCCTCCTCTCCTCCCAAAGACACCCCCCCCGCGTCCAAGGATCCCCCCTACCAAATACAGGGACCCCCTAAAAGGGTTCAACCCAAGAGAGACTCCCTTTAGGCGACCCCCATCCCTCCCAGGAAGATTAGGGCTCACCTCCCACCCTCACCCCCTCCCAAGGCCCCCCTCCCACAAATTTAGGGTTCAACCCAGGACAGGGTCCCTTTGGATGACCCTCTCCTCCCAATAAGACCAAAGGTAGCCCCCCCACCCTCCCCTCGCCCCCTCCCAACGACCCCCCCAAATTCAGGCAAGGGTTCAACCCAGGACAGGCTCCCTTTAGGCGACCCCTTCCTCCCAGGAAGACCCCAAATCTCTCCCCCCCCCTCCTCTCCTCCCAAAGACCCCTCCCCCGTCCAAGGATCCCCCCACCAAATACAGGGACCCCCTAAAAGGGTTCAACCCGGGAGAGGCTCCCTTTGGCGACCCCTCCCCTCCCAGGAAGACCCCAAATCTCTCCCCCTCCCAAAGACCCCTCCCCCGTCCAAGGACCCCCCCTAAAAGGGTTCAACGCAGGACAGGCTCCCTTTCGCGACCCCTCACCCCAGTGCTACCTCTCACCCCCTCAGGGCAGCCCCCTCCCCTCTTTCCCCCCTCCCCTCACAACCCCCCCCTTTTGCACCTCCCCCCTGCACCGCCTCCCCCGGGGGTCCTGCGAGGCCCCCACACGTGGAAGGAGGGACCCCTCCCCTCCAACTTTCCTGCGGGCCCCCTCCCCCTCCCCCTCCCTCCCTCAGGAGCGCCCCCGCCCCGTGACTCAGCCGAGGGGGCGGCCTGGCTCCGCACCAGGCGAGGCGGCGGCTGAGGCGGCGGGGCTTCCCTCCTTCTCCTCCTCCGCCGCCTGCCTGCTGGTCCGAGGCGGCCGCCACGCGGTGAGGCCTCGGGGACGCGCGTTGCCCGAGCTCGAGGCCGCCCCCTCCCCTCCCCCTCCCCCCCCACACCGGCCTTTTCTTTTCCCCTCCCCGCGACCCCCCCTCCTCCTCCTCCTCCCCCCCCCTCAGCGACTCACCCGCCCGCGAGCTCAACCGCCGCCGCCGCGCCGCCGCCGCTGCCTGCTGCAACCCAGCCCGCAGTGCGCACGCGCACTTCTTCGCCTCTCCCGCTTCCCCCCCGCTTCCCCCCCTCCGCCCGCGAGCTCGCGACCCGTCGCCGCACGCGCACTGGAGACGACGCCCAGAACGGGGAGGGGGAAAGGAGGAGCCTCTTCTTTGCGCCTGCGCCGTTAGGGTTGTGAGCGTGCGCGGTGAGACGTCACCCTCCCCCGCGCGCATGCGGAGTGGCGGGGGGAGAAGGAAAAAACGCCGTGCGCATGTGTAGGGGAAAAAAAAAAAGGAGGCCCCAACTAGGAAACGTCCTGCTTCACGAGTCGGGGGTTGGTGGTTGAGGCAGCGCGCAAGCGCGTGGAGCGGCCGTCTTCCTCCCTGCCTCCCTCCCTTCCTCCCCCCGCGGCCATTTGCTTGAGATCACGCATGCTCCTAGGCCGCGCACGCCTCGAGTTTGGCGGCCTCGGGGAACGCTCTCCAACCCAGCGTGCGGACGCCGAGAAGGGCGCATGCGTGCCTCGGCTGGCGATGCCGAAAGACACCCCCCTACCCGTACCACCGAGTGTGCGTGGCGAGCGGCGCAGAGCGGCACGCCCAAAGTCTTTTCCCTACCACGCGGGCCTCGGCGGCCATCTTGGCCGGGCCGCGGCCGCCATGGTTGCCACGGCAACGGCAGCGGCCTCCATTCCACGCCGCTCCCGAAGCAAAAAAAAATTGGGACTTTTGAGATGAAGAATAAGTTTTCCTCCTTACCCGGCTCTGTATCTGCCGGTGGCCTGGGACTCCAAGTCCCATGCTTCCCAGCAGAGGCCTATGACATGCCGAGGGGTCCTTTATTGAGCCCTGACAGGGATTTGACAGGCACTCTTGGAGCCGAACCCCCCCCCCCAAAGCCATAAATCTTTCTAAAATCAAAATAAAAAGATTTTAGGTTTATTTAGGCGAGAAAGTTGGTGCCAGGCCCATGAGGCAATGCCAACCTTCCAGGCCTAACTCTGCCTCTGAAAGGCGTTGGGACTACAAAACCCATGCTCCCTGGCCGGCACCAGGCCTCGAAGTGGTGCATTAGGGTGCTGGGAGTTGGAGCCCACCAACCCAAACCAAGGCAGGGAGGGGGAATGGGGGCTTTCGGGGTGCAACCATTGCCCCCCCCCCGTGAGAGCCACAGAGGATAGACTTTAAAAGACTACAAAACCCATGTTAACTAGCTAGTGCAACAGTATTACAAAAGCCATGTTGCCAGTATTACAAAGTCCATCCGCTCCGACTCTCGAGAGGAATGGACTTTGTAATACTTGAAACGATACTTGGACGTTGCACTATTTGAAGTATTACAAAGTCCATCCTCTGTGGCTGTCAAGAGGATGGACTGTGATACTGGAAACATGGTTTTTGTAGTACTGTTGCACTAGCTAATTAAAGGGTCTTCTTATATTACAAAGTCCATCCTCTGGCTGTCAAGAGGATGGACTGTGATATTGGAAACATGGTTTTTGTAGTACTGTTACACTGGCTAATTAACAGATTTTCTTGTATTACAAAGTCCATCCGCTGTGGATCTCAAAAGGATGGACTTTGTGATACTAGAAATATGGTTTTTGTAGTACTGTTGTACTGGCTAATTAACAGGGGTTTTCTTGTATTACAAAGTCCATCCGCTGTGGCCGTCAAGAGGATGGACTTTGTGATACTGGAAACATGGTTTTTGTAGTACTGTTGCACTGGCTAATTAACAGGGCTTTCTTGTATTACAAAGTCCATCCTCTGTGGCTGTCAAGAGGACGGACTTTGTGATACTGGAAACATGGTTTTTGTAGTACTGTTGCACTGGCTAATTAACGGGTTTTCTTGTACTACAAAGTCCATCCTCTGGCTGTCAAGAGGATGGACTGTGATATTGGAAACATGGTTTTTGTAGTACTGTTACACTGGCTAATTAACAGATTTTCTTGTATTACAAAGTCCATCCGCTGTGGATCTCAAAAGGATGGACTTTGTGATACTAGAAATATGGTTTTTGTAGTACTGTTGTACTGGCTAATTAACAGGGGTTTTCTTGTATTACAAAGTCCATCCGCTGTGGCCGTCAAGAGGATGGACTTTGTGATACTGGAAACATGGTTTTTGTAGTACTGTTGCACTGGCTAATTAACAGGGCTTTCTTGTATTACAAAGTCCATCCTCTGTGGCTGTCAAGAGGACGGACTTTGTGATACTGGAAACATGGTTTTTGTAGTACTGTTGCACTGGCTAATTAACGGGTTTTTCTTGTACTACAAAGTCCATCCTCTGGCTGTCAAGAGGATGGACTGTGATATTGGAAACATGGTTTTTGTAGTACTGTTGCACTGGCTAATTAACAGATTTTCTTGTATTACAAAGTCCATCTGCTGTGGCTCTCACAAGTCAGCCTTCTTACCCCGAGACAGGGGCAGGGATCTCCCCCTTGCCCCACACCCCTCCTCTTCCCCCGCCCACCCCAAAAATCTTGCTACATTTGCTTCATGTTCTCCCTGCCCGCCTCGCAGGGTTGTTGTGGGGAAAATACGTGGAAAGATTACTCTATTGTTTGCTGGATTGTGGTCACCAGGGAGGGGGATGGGGGGTGTATTTTTTTTTTACTGTTTGTATATTGGGTTTTTTGTTTTTTGGAAACTGCCCGTAGTCACTCGGAGGGAGTGGGCTTCCATATAAATTCTCTAAATAAATATTTATCATATGGCACATTGGCATCGTATTTCAGTAAAAAGGGATGGAGGAGTAAAAACGCAAAATACGGAAAGTAAAATCTGAAATCTTAATGGGTGGGTTACAAGCGTCGTATCTAAATTGCAAATATATTTTTTTTATTTCATTTCTCGCAGCCAAATGCAGGTAGTTCTCGAACTAGGAACGCAATGGAGCCCAAAATTTTTGTTGCTAATTGAGAGAGTTGTTATGTGCGTTTTGTCCCATTTTATGATTTTTCTTGCTTTGAATAGTCCCTAAACGACTGTTGTAAGTCAAGGACCACCTATAATAAATAAGAATAGATCTAAATAAATAAAAAATTAGATATGCTCACACCCTTGGAGTTACTTATTAAGACAGGATAAAAATGTAATAAATGAAATTTGTCTTTTGGCACCATTAACACGTTGCTTCTACAGGCAGTCTTCAACTTGCAACAGTTCATTTAGTGACCAAAGTTACAACAGCACTGAAAAAAGCGACTTAGGACCGTTTTTCACACTTAATGCCCGTTGCGGCATCCCTGTGATGATCATGCAATCAAAATTCAGATGTTTATGACAGCTGCAGCATCCCAGGGATCGCACGATCCCCTTCCCTTTTGCGACCTTCTAACAAGCAAAGTCAACGGGGAAGCCGGTTCCGCTTAACGACCGTGTTACTAACTTCGCAAAGGCAATGATTCGCTCGGCAAGAAAAAAAATCGTAAAATGGGGCAAAGTCACTTCACAAATGTTTCACTCGGCAACATACATGGTGGTCATAACTCGAGGACTACCCGTGTACGAGGACGCTCCGTGGCTCAACGGTCCCATGCCCGTTTTCATTGCCACCCGGTTGCCCCTCCGAACAATGGAGCATGTCAAAAGTGCAGATGGGAAATCAGCACCAGCCCAAAGGCTGCAGGTTGTGTCTATGGACAGCAGAGGGCAGAGTCTGCCAGCCAGCACCGCCTGCCAGGTAAAGGGGCACCAGTCCAAATCCAGCCTGGAGCTGGCACCCTCTGCCAACAACACCTGTGTGCCATTCATTGTATGTGGTGAGTAGTAGCCAGCAGAATTGGCTAATGAAATAAACCAAGTGTGAGAAACGGTCATAAGTCCCTTTTTTCATTGCTGTTTTTTTCACGGCAGGAAAGACCCTCTTGTATTAACCACCAATCAGAGGTATTTTTTGGGCAGCAGGGCAAGTCTGCACGACTCCCAAACTGGAAAGGGCTTAATCTGGGTTTACCTATTTGTTTGAACTCACGTGGCCCGGCCATGGTTACAGGATGGGAGAACGCGGACAGCTGTAACGAGGATATGATGTGACAGATAAGATCATCATCAACAACAACATTTATTAAATTTATATCATGCCCCAGCAGTTCCGTTGCATGCCATGCAGGGCTCTGAAGGCCATAGGCCCGTGATGGCGAACCTATGGCACGCGTGCCACAGTTGGCACACGGAGCCATATCTGTGGGCACGCGAGCGTTGCCCTAGCTCAGCATGTGCATGCCAGACAGCTGATTTTTGGGCGTTCTGGGCCCACCAGAAGTTGGGAAACGGGCCATTTCCTGCCTCCAGGGGGCTGGCGAAAGCCGTTTTCGTCCTCCCCAGGCTCCTAGAAAGGCTCTGGAGCCTGGGTAGAGTGAAAAACAGTTGCATTGTGCAGCAGCGGAAGCTTCCGGAGACTTTCCGTGTAACGTTGTGGTAGAGAGATGAGCAGGGCATGAGTGACCGAGTGACGTTACAGCAGGGGTGTCCCAATCTTGCCAATCTTACGCCTTGTGGACTTCAACTCCCAGAATCCCCCAGGCAGCAAATATTTGCCAGAATTCAGCAAGAAGAAATGTAAATTAGACTATCACGTTTTTCGAAAAGAGTAAATTTCTTAATAGATGGTGGGAATGCAGTAGATGTAATATATCTTTTTTTCACAGCAAAGTGGGGGGGGGGAATTGCTGGATGAGGAATTCTGGGAGTCGAAGTCCACGAGTCTTAAAAGTTGCCAAGTTTGCAGTGGGGATGCTATAGTCATCATAAGTTACTTTTTTTCAGCCCCGCTGTAACTTTGAACGGTCACTAAATGAATGGTTGTAAGTCGAGGACTACCTGTTGAAAAGGCGGGGTCGCAAGATGACACGCCCACAAATGTGGGGCCGGGAGACCAACACCCTAACATGGTACCCATAATCCCCAACCCACGGAGCCGGCTCCGAAGGATACCATCCCAGCTCCGCCACTGAATTAACCACATTGAGCCCATCATTCAGGGTTTGAGCAAAGTTTCAGACGGTCCTCGACGTGCGACCCTTCGCTTAGTGACAACCACAGCGAAAACCAGGACTTGCAACCAGTCCTCATGCTGGATCATCCCAGCATC